TTTTTTTTTTTTTTTTTTTTTTTTTTTTTTTTTTTTTTTTTTTTTTTTTTTTTTTTTCACCCAGGAAGCTTTTTCAAATAAAAAAATTCCATTTTTGAATTGAAAAAGCTTCCTGGATGGGAAGCAAAACATCTTCAAACTTGGAAACAAAGTCCAATGGATTGTTTTTACCTGTTTTTGGAGTGACTATGACCTGGACGACTAAGAATCCTCACCAAAAAACAGATATAAACTTGTTTTCTGTGACTGAATTGAAAGCACAGCAGCTCCATCTGCCTGCCTCAGAGGAACACTCACCTCCTGTTTGAGTGAGGACGCTGGGAGGCGGATGGCCTCTGAAAGCACCCTGTGCATCCCAGCGATGATGTGACTGAGCCTCTCCTGTGGGATGACACTGCTTTCAGCGATCGACTTCATGATCTCCCTGCAGTCTTTTCCCTCCAGTGCACTGACCACAGCTGCACAGAGAACAACACGAAGCTGATCTTTTCTTTTGTAAATAGAAATTACAAACTCACTTGTTTATTTTGCAAGATATATTAACATAGCTGCGTAAAAGTAGCCCAAAGATCATTTTGTAAAACAAATTATGTTGTTTTTTTATTGTATTGTATTTACCTTTGAGAAGTTTTCTAAACAACTCTTGATCCACATCCTTCAGATTTTTCGACATCGACTCTATTTCTGGTGGTATTCTGCCCCCCAAGAAGCTAGTGTCTTTTACGTTGCTTAAAGACATGGCTAAATGAGTCGCTATCGGAGAAAAAATGCACAAAAGAGGCAAGATTGAAGGAAAAGAGAGTGATTGTTTTCATTGACGTGAGAACTTCCGACTTCAGGTCACATGACATGTGACGGATGGCAGTTCTTTTCGCGTTGTCTAGAGTCTCGCGAGAACAGCTTAGTTCGTCAGAAAAGAAAGGATTAGCAAATGGAGGCTGTAGCCATGGTCGCTGTGTGAAAACTAAAGGTTTGTGCGCTGATGTTCGCTTTAGTTTTTACTTGAAACGTTTTCTTTTGTTACTTTTTAAAATATTTTTCATCATAAAAGTTTTTTAGCTACCGCTGTGTCGTTTGGTTACCGTTAGGTGAACAGTTGTTTCACTAGCATCCAGCTAGCGGTATTAGCTAATGTTATTGTTGTCACAGGCTAACGCTGTTTATCCTTAATGGTTCTAAACTGTGATTAATTTGCCTATATAACTGTACTAACACGCCTTGTATTCACAGTATATTTAACGGATGTGTTATTTGGTGATTGCTAATTCAGCGATTTCCTGGCATCTCATTTCCAGTTTACTTGTTTTCAGTAATTATTTACCCCATTATATATAGATAAGTTGTTGATAATTTGACATGTAGGTGTTAATTTTTATCGATATTGTAAATTTTGTTCATAGCTTTATTTCTAAAGTTTAATTCGTCGTATTCTCTTTAATATTAAGAACCCGATTATTTTCCATTGGTTCAGTTTGTTTTTAACCAATGTATTTCTCTACTTTTTTTTTAAGTGATAAGATTTTTAAATTGCAGGTTAAGTTTAATTTTGTAGACGTATTTGCTTGTTGTTACTCAGGCACACGAATCGATACTCTTGCAGAGGTGTCGATGCATCGGCTCTTGGATCGATGCATCAATAAAAAAAAGATAGATATTTACACCCCTAAATAATAATTAATTAAAAGCAAATATTTAATGAAACAAAATGGGTGCATTGAAATGTTAAAGTTAGAAATGTTCTCAACAGACTTGTTTTCCTTGTCAGTGTCCATTAGGACTGATACTTTGATACTAGTATAAAGATGTGCTGCAGGTCTTTTTAACATTAAAATGAAAAAAATAAATGCATTACAAGAATATCCTATTTTGGTGTCAATGCCTTAATAATAGTCAAAGTATGGCAAATACTAAGCAGGAAAACATGCATCCTTTAGCTGTATTTTTATTATGAGATGTGAGTCCTAAGTTGTGATGCATTTTGAATCAAATGAAAATTTAAAATCTTTTTCAGCATTTTACCAGATGATAATTTTACCGCCAGATGGCAGTAATTCTCACACAATGTCCCTTTAAAACAAGATTATAATCCTTACCTGAGTTCTCTCAGACCTTCCTTAAAGATCTAAACTAAAATGATAAGTTTAGGTTTTTTTAACATTGGAAGGCTCAAATAAAAATGTTTAAAATCTTTTTCAGCATTTTGCCCAATGATTACCTATCATTTTTTTTATCCCAGGTTAATGCGCTACACGTGCTAACACATTGATGCTTCCCAAAAAATGACTTAAAGCTGTAAAATTGCTGTGGTTTCAATCAGTCATTCGCTGTTCTAATGGTTCCTTCCCATTGGTTGTTATAGTTATTTAGACTATTTGCAGATTTTGAGGGATCTTTTTAATGTTCCCTGCTTATTTCGTTTCTAGCAGCTATAATGATCAGGCAGTTATTCCAAAAAAAGAAAATTAAAGACAATTCGCTGGACTTTGTTTTCACGTTTGAAGTCATTTAGCTTCCTAGCCAGGAAGCTTTTTCAATTAAAAATGCCAGGAATAGCGTTGATTTTTAGGTTTTTCTTTGTTTTGTTTTTTTAGATTTTGGTATTCTCCTGACATCTTGAATTGAAAAAGCAAAATGTCTTCAAACTTGGAAAATATTTCAAGTTGATTGTTTTTAATTTTCTTTTTTGGAATGACTATGACCTGCATGATTGAGAACCTTCACCAGCAATATACAGAAATGTTTGTTGCTCCATGTCAGTCACTAAATGTAACAGAAATTCACCATTTAAAGAAACAAACAAATGCTGAATCTCTGAGTCTAGGCTTTAGCTTTGAAGCCAACAATAAATAGATAATGAGGCTATCCCTGTTTAGGATTATAAGCTAGACTTTAAGTTGTTTTTCTTTAATATCTAAAACAAAGTGGGGGGGGGGGGTCACTTTTCTGGTCACTTTAGTTTATTCTTTGTCAGTATTTAATAACATAACTCAGGTCTCTTAAGTTATTTTTCTTTAAAACAATTCTGTTATGGTTAAAAAAGTTGATTAAATAAAGATTTAATTGGAAGTCTGTGTTTGTGTTCTTTATTAAAATTAAATCATTTAGCAATATTATAAAAGTCCAGGCAGAGCTGCACATAAAATATGGTTTCAAATCTTTTCAATAATTATCGATATCGATCAATATGCATTTTTTTTATCGATAAGCTTTTTTCTTTTTTTCTTGAACATCAATTTTAAAGGCTTTCCACTAATTTTTTTATTTGATTTGGGTCCATATTTTGGGCAGTTTCAATACATCACCACAGATTTGGCAGCATCTACTCCAAATCTATCAATATTTTTCCCACTGTGGGATAATAAATAGATTTTCTATTCTATCTTTCTATTCTAATAGATATGCAGTATCAATATTACATTACATTAA